TCCGCGAGAGCACTATGTGTTATGGTTGGTTGAGTCACTCCTGGAAGTGCTCCCACATGCCTGGAGACGGACCAGACCCCTCTCCAGAACTTGTACAGAAAGAGCTTGGGAATACGGCTTCTTTCACCCTCGTCGAAGCCTTGAACACTGAAAGTGTCAGGTGGAAGGGTTAGTTTGCAGCTCTCTCCCTCTCCGTCTCTGTCTCTGTCTCTCTCTCTCTCTCCCCTCGCCTTTCCCACTCTCTGTTTTTTTTCCCCAGTCCTTCGCGCCTGCCGGTCTCAAGCTCAAGGCCTTGAAGCTTGTAACATGGTGGGAAGTTTATGACCTTATCATCTCATCTAGGACTCCAGGATCTACAATCACAGCCGCGAAGCTATACGAAGCTATGAAGACGAAGTCGATGAGCAGCATGTTCTCTGTTTCAAGGTACTGTTTACACTAAGCCACTGCTTTGACATCTTATGGGTACCTCAGAGATTCGGCAGGCTTATGGGGATAATTCACCTTGGCTGCAGAGAAGACAGGAGAGGGCGTCGGACCAGGTCTCCTGTTCATGGAGTTTCTTTTTGACTTCACAGGACATGGCTTCGTCTTTATGACTTTATGCGTCGTAACGGTCATCTAGATCTTGATTACGATGCTGATCGGGTGTACAGGTTTGGCAACTGTGTCCTACTTCGCACACCACGAAGTTGCCAACTCGTCCTCTCGAACGTCACATGCGCTACGTCTTGTACATTGCATGAAGCTTACATGTTGTACCACTGGCTGGCTGTTTTTTATCTCACTGAAACTTCCAAAGCTTGTAAGCTCGTAGCTTTCAGCAAAGTTCCAAGCCCCACCCCGACCTGCCATCAGATATCAAGCATAGCGAAGGCAGAAAGGGATGGAAGTTAGGAGTGGGCAACAAGCCGCGACAACCGTAGTCTGTCTGTGCATGAGTATACGAACGCGTGCAGATGTGTGACCCGTATACACACTGTGTGCGTCTGTATATCCAGGTACATGTCATGTGCCTGGATATACAGACGCACGGTTCTTGCATGCATGGATTGAAGGAAGGAAGCACGGCTGGATGGACGTATGGACGTATGTATGCATGCGTATGCTGTAACCGTGTATGCAGTAGCCATGTATGCATGCGTGTAAGTAAGTATGTAAGTGCATGTTAGCATGTGTTCAATGGAGGCATGTCTTGCACAGCAGCTTTGTGTGAATACATTGCGTACTTCAACCGGTGCGTACATGAGAAATGTCAGGGCAATGGCCTGGGCGAGCGTGTCTCCCTGCACCCTTGCATCCCAAACCGTTTTCAATCTCGCGCTCCATAGCCGCCGCTGCAACCAAAGAACTCGCTGCACTTCGTGTTGCTGTCTCTTGTTGGCATTTTGTTGCCGACTGCCCAAGCATGCATGGCTTGCTTTTGTATTCTGTATACTGTTATTGGACTTAGGCAAGCTTTCTGAAGCTCGAAGCGCACTTCGTTTGAGTGTACGAGCCGGTTCCGGGGTTCAGCCTTCCGCCAGTGCACAACCACGAACAACACCCCAATTCATGAATTCATGCCAATATCGGTGGGCAGAGGTGTGGTCAACTTCCCCATACCAGACTACGGTTCAGGATCAACGCAGCCTTCTTCCTGTGTCTTGCAAGTAGTTCTGGGTTTTTCAATGGTGCAGAAAACGAGAAGACTGGTAGCTAGCGAGAAGAGAGGAAGAGCAACCCTAAACCCTAAACCCTAAACCTTAAACCCTAAACCCTAAACCCTAAACCCTAAAGGATAGGAGTGTCCAGGCGCTCCAACGATCGGTGGTGCAGCGCCGGGATCTGGATGCCTCTATGAGCGAGCGCGCAGAGGCCCAACTTTCCCAACGCCTGGAGCAGTCTGTCATCTCAGCAACAATGATGCTTTGGGTTTAGATTCTTACTCTTGTCGTTTTTGGTCCCCTCAAAGAAAGACCGATCTTGCTCGTTGTCACGGACAGAAATCTTCCATTGCACGAGAGCAGCATTGGTGATGTCGGGGCTCTTGATCTAACCCGACTTATTGCGTCTTCGTCCCGTAGTCAGCGCATTCACGACGCCTGGACTGAAATCTACGGTTAAATGAAAGTTTCGAGCACTTGTCGTGCTGCTCATGCTGCCACAGCTTTTCATCGTACGACTACAGCACCATGAACTCATGGACGGTAGGTACAAAGGCAGTGCAAACCTGCTGCGGACTGGACGAAAGCCCTTCTACAGCGACTGCAGTGTTTCGCCACCTCCAGAGGAATATAAATCCAACATTCTCTCTCTCTCTCTCTCACACCCACCCACGCACGCACGCATGGACGCACTCACTCACTCACTCACTCACTCACTCACTCACTCACTCACGCACGCACGCACGCACGCACGCACGCACGCACGCACGCACGCACGCACGCACGCACGCACTCACTCACTCACTTACTTACTTTGTGTGTGTGTGTGTGTGTCTGTGTTTGCTGACTGCCTT